CAACTACTACCCCTGGGGCTACGACAGCGACAACGGTGAGCGGCCCGCTCCTCCCGGCACCGAAAGCCGGGGGAAGCGGGGGCCCCGCTTCCCGAGGGAGCGTGGCGGGGGATGCGGGCTCCGGGCGGGCCCGGGGCTCTGCAGGTGGCGGGGCCGAGGCCGCTCGGTTGTCGCTCGCAGGCGCGGAAGAGGCGAAGCTGGTGGAAGGAGAGGTCAATGGCAGGGGGTCTTTAAGTTAAATAAAGTCAGTTTTCCTACTGTTAATGCAAATTAAAATTGGACGTAGTAAAATCCGGCTTTAGGCTAGCCCTGATGCGGGAAGAGCAGTGCTGGGCTGCAGGCCCCGCCTGCCTGGAGAGGTTGGGGTATTGGTGATCTCTTGTTCTGCACTCTCCCCTGCTGCAGGAAGAGCAGCTCAGCATTGGTCAGGCTTTTCCCACATTAACTCCTCGGTAAAACCATAATGGTAATTAATTCCATGCTTCACGTTCTTGACATGTCCAGAGAAAAGTGACCTTTTCTCCTTGCATATGGCTACATGGTGCCACATTTGAATCATTTGTGTATATCATGTCTCTAGCCACTGCTGGACTTGGAGTATACACCTCTAGTTTTCTTCCTTGGCATATTATCAGTCTTGTAGTAGTTAGTCATGAGGTTGGTGTAAGAGTTTAGGTTCAGTTGAAGGACTTGAAGTATCCAGTATTCCAGCTAGAAATCAATCTGGTTGCCTTTTATACAGTGAAAGTCTTGATAGGGCATGGATAACAACTAGGTAATTACTTATTAATACACTTAAATGATGTTCTGTACTTAAGCAAAGCCAAGCTTGGATTAATTGTAACAAGTATATCTCTCTGGAAAAGATTTTTATGATACTTCTCTACTTTTTTGTAGGACCAGATCAGTGGCACAAAAATTACCCTTTTGCAAAAGGACGCCATCAGTCACCAATTGAAATCAATAACAAAGAGGTGCATTATGATAGTTCTTTACTACCATGGTTTGCTAGTTACGATCCCGGTGCAGCTAAGACCATCCTCAATAATGGGAAAACCTGCAGAGTTGTATTTGATGATTCATTCGATAGATCAGGTCGGTTTTGTTTTCATCTGTCATTATATGTAAGTGGCTGTTCCTTAATTTGCATGGAAGAGCCTGCTCTGAATGTTCAGGCTGTCAGAAGGGTTCTGTGTATTGCCTGTGTGTGACGTACAGGTTTCTCTGACCAGGTACCCTGTGCTACTGGTGGGGAGCTTCTGGGACTCCTTTCAAAATTGATCAGTAAAATCCTAGGGAATGGAGAGAACCATAAAGAAACTTGGTACAAGGTGAAATAAGGTGTAAGATAAATTTCTGGGGCTGCAAAGTGTCATTGCAATTGTGTTGCTTTCCAGGACAAAGGAGGCCCAGGCTTTATCTGTGAGAGCTGAATTCCATTTTACCTGTCTGAGATGCCCAGCAGAACATCTTAAGTTACAGTATTTAAGAACTCTATCCATGTAGTTTGTGATAAATGAAGTGACGAGCTAGGTGTTGCTACAACGTCACAGTATTTAATCAGTTAAAACTCTTCCTGGCATTCATGAGGTTTTATCTTAATGAAGATTATAGGGCTGATAACTTCAGTTGTGTCATATAACATTTGATATATTTTATCCACTTGCAGCTATGAGAGCATACAGTGTACAGACTTATTTCTTATCTGCATTAAAACTTCCACTTTCTGTATAGCTAGGACTGACAGCTGTAGTTCTTAGGAGAAATTTTACTAATAGATTGTTTAATGTTAAGTATATATGGACATGGATTTGATTTAATGGATTTTTAACTAATTACTTGGGTTTCATGAAACTGAGGATCAAAATGTTTGTAAGCTGGAATAGTTAATATACTATTAAAACTTTCAATTACTATGCAGTCAAGAGTTTTTGTAACTTTTCTAGCAAAGTGGGAATTTTCAATGTTATTTGAAGAAAAATATTATTGTCAGATAAAATGATACAAGTAAAGAAATGTAGCTGTGGCACATGAGAGCTCCATGACTATTATCATATTTTTACCATCTGTTGTGTTTGTTAGAACAGCATCAGATATACCAGTGGTTGTATCTCCTGCATGAAAATAAAAGTGCAGTTATTGTTAAAATAACTCAAATTTTCAATGGGAGGCAGTATCCAGGCAGAGTAACCTACAGCATGGATGCAACACTCACAATAAAGAGCAGAAAGTTTCAGAATGTTCTGAAAATTCTTTCAGATGAGCTGCTCAGTAACGGTTGTTTTGATCTCAGAAATAAAAAGCAACTCACTGCAAAAAAAAAAAAGTAGGTGTCTATCTCAACTCTTTGAAGTCAAGAAACATTCAGTGTTTGTTGTTATGTTTCCTTTGTTATACCATTGCCTGCAGAGTCTGTGGGTGGTGTTCTTTCTCTAATATAATGCTAATTGCAGGACGAATTCCACTGTGCATACTCCTACTGGCTTGAGCACATACTCAGTTTTTTAGGATATGTGAAATGGCTTATTTTTTATGCAAAAGACCCTCCATCTGCACAAAACATACGTAGGCAATAGCGATCATAGAGGAATGAAACTTTTATTCCTTTGGAACATTCATTCTCTCTGTGTATGTGTCTGTCACTCTGTCTATCTGAATTATTTCTGAGTTAACCAGAAAACTAATGGCTTCATTTATTTTCCTGACTTCTTCCAGTTATAGTGGTCATACCCATATCTATACTTCTGTCTAGATTTTCATTAGTTTGGATAAAATAGATTGCTGACTAAGTTGCCAAGGTGAGTGATAAAATTAATTACTTTGGATGCCTCCAAGTTTTACATCCATTGTCTATCCTGCCAAAAACACTTGGAGTATTCACAGCTGGGGACAGTTTCTTAAATTCAGACAATTAGAGTGTCATCCAATGTAACTCAGGTATTAAGTTGAAAAAGGCCTTATTACTTTTATGTTTGGGGTTAGAGTAGTGGGAAGGAATTTGAGAATTTATTTCCAGCTATTTATAAAGTCTGAACTTTGAGAATCTCCTACAAAATTGAAAGCTTTGCTGACTTTGCTGACAGATAAAGTTGCTGTAGGAGCAGTACCATGTCTTTGCTGCTTATCCATATAAGTTAATGGATTCTTGTGGACAGTTTCCTGTCTTACTGTAAAGATGTAGATGGACTTATGCACTGTAAAATGATTGCAGGTGGGGTCTGGAGCCTGAAAATTGAGGAGAGAACTAGGAGCTGAAGTCAAACCTTCTAGGTGGCTGGGCCCAGTAGAACACACCAGAACTTGGGTACTTTGACAGCCTACCACTGCTATGTTTTTTTGGCCTGATTGGCAATTCAGATACTCTTGTAGATCCAGCAGTGACCCAGTTTTGGTTTGAATTCGGGTGGAATCTTATTTCCACTATCAGAATCCACTTCTTTCTAAAATTAAAACAATATTCATATCAGAGAAGTGTCCTGAGAGCTTCTAACTGGTGGGACTATTGTCATTATGCTTTTTTATATATATACTTATTATATAGATATAAAAATATCTATATAATAAATACATATTTATAATATAATATATATTACATAAGTATAATATTTATTTATATTATATATTTATTACATAGATATAACAAATTAATTATTATAATTATATAATATATAATTATACAATAATTATTATAGTTGATGACTCTTTGGCTTTTGTTGTAATAGCTTGGTTAGATGGTTACACTAAAGTGTTGGATTGAGATACAGTAAAGATCCAAAAGTCTGGTAATGGAACCCAGACAGAGCAGCTGAGGAGAGATACACTAAGGCTGTGTCACATGGATACCTTCCTTCATCTTCCCTCTTTGTTGTTTTTGTTGGCACTTCCTATGGACATTCATCAAACAAACAGATTCCTACTTCTTTTTTTACTGGCTTTCAGATGGATGACATTTAAGGGCTTGGAGTACCTCAGTGCAGGCACACATTCATACAGGGTTACCGTGATGCTGTTTTCAGAATCTTTTCCTGTCAAAGAAACATGTGGCTTTGAAAATGGATCATGAAAAAAAATAAAAATAAAAAATTAGAGACAGTTACTGTAAGAAGTTGGAGCTTATTGCTAATCAGCTCTTTTAGCATGATTAGTGCTTGTGGCCAGCATTTCCTCAAATACCCCTTTGTGGGAAATCTCATTCATTTTTGCAAATTAAATTTTGATTATCAACTTCTGGTAAATAAAACATTCATTTGTTCAGCAGTTATTATAGACTGAGGACAAACCCCAGTAATTTCAATTAAACCAGGGGAAGTCTGTCCATAGACATTCCAGTTTTGGTTGCTTCCTACAAAAGATTACTTAACATTTTGTCTGCTGAATTTCCACTGGAGAAAACCAGTAGCTGTTACAAGAATAGCACCACTAAATCCCAGTAGTTTCATAGTTGTGGTACCACTCAATGGCTGTACTTTTGCATAAGGCAAAAGGCAGGAAAGTTAAATTCTTCCTTAAGTGTAACAACACATCTGTCATTTCTCGTGTCTGCATGAAGGTATTGAGAGCTCCTGTACTTGGGTACAGAGAATTTAGGATTTGATCTTCTGTTAACTTCAAATTTCCATTGTTAGAATTAAAAGTGCTTTACTTTTAATTCTAGTCAAGGGCCTGCTGAAGCTACAGGTACACAGAGAACTGTCAGTTTTCTGTCCCTGGAAGTGGGGCAGCCACCTATTCAGCCCTACATAGATCACAAAGATGATTTGGGAGTTCACTGATGAACAAACAGGCTGTGATCCAGGGGCATAAAACTGGCAAAAGTGTTACAGTGTAGGTGAGGGTGGGTGGCAGGCCAACAGATTTCTGTCTGAACCCTCTTTTTCCCAGTCTATCCCTAAAAGAGTACAAGGTGCAAATAGAAACAAAAGTAATCCTGCTGCATATCTATTCAGTGCTTGCTTAAAGGAAATTTCAGTGAGAATTTAAATCTGAGTTCCAAAAGCTTTTAGGAAATACATTTTACTCTGCAGTTAGCTAGATGGTTTCACTATAGAGATCCTCTTCTGAGCAGAGGCTTTTTTATGGCTTATAAAATGTGGCACTGATGTGAAACACCTGTGGGTTCTGTACTGCACTGTTAGATTCTATTATGAAGCAGCATAACAAAGATAATGTGTTTTTTCAATTGTCAAACAGTAGTACATTACTAATTTAATTTCATTGTGGTTTACCAGTTAATTTTATGGATTTGGCAGGATGCAAGATCATAAATCTTACTAGAACAGTCATTTCTCTCATGTTTATAAACACAGTTCATCTCAGGAGTCTGTATTGCTCTCTGTTGGTTTTTCCACCTGGCTTTCATGGTATGCCTTTACAACACACAGGGAAGGCATTTGTATAAGATAACTTAGCCAGTTTTACTTTAGTGAGAGCAAATGACAATTGAGTCTAGCACAGGTTAACAACCAGACCCCTACAGAAGCTGCTCAGCAAGTGGATGCACATATTTGAAAACCTGCTTGTCACTTTTCTGTTGTCAAGGGCACCCAGCTAGCTAAAGTGACTGGAGCAGCCATCTCCTCTCACCTGCATGACGTCTTCATTTGGCTGTGTCATAGAGTGAAAGACGAGGTTTTCTTGCCTTAGTTACATCCTTCCGTGCAACACTTGCCCTAGTGATTACTTAGAAAGTGAAGAAAGCCCATTCTTTTATTAGCTTGTTTTGTCTCATGCTGCTCAGATGATGATGGATCAAATAAAAGGTGAGCTTTTTTCCAGACCAGATGTCCTTGTGTGTGCCCATGCAGGATTGTTCCATAATAGATCATTCTTCAGTGTGGATGTGTGAGGGGCACAGAATTTAGGCAAGAGAGACATGGCGTTTTTATATCTGGTATCAGGCACTGCTGGGTCATTGAGGGTGATGTGCAAACCCATTTAGAGTCAGTCAATAAGCAATGGGATGAGAGTTTGCAGCAATAAGGCACCAAAAAAGGAGTGAATACTTTTCTCCCGTCTTCCTCAGCTGGTTTGTATATTCTTGCACCTGGGCCACATTACTTTAATGAAAGCAAGTTTAAGGGAGTTACATTTTGGTAATTCTGTTGTGACTTGCAGATATTTAAGGTGAACAATTCCTGTGTAGTAATTGTCAGAAAAATGCCCTGTTACATGCAGTTAATATATACTAACATTGCTGAAAAAGAAAGTCAAGATACCATATATCTTCTTTTATATTCTTTTTCTGTTTTATGTTTGTGCATTTTTATTTTTTTTAGTATTGAAAACAAAAGCCCAAGAGGATAAAGATATGTTTAGAATTTAAGTTCCAAAGCACATGCTTAAAAAGAGCCCTCTTACTAATTTTGAGCTATGCAGACATAGTGTGGGATTTTTAATGTTTTAAATATTGGAGAACTTCATTCTCGTAATCGTTTTGTTTACTTTTTCCCTTTTTAATGTGCAGGAAAATTTCATTTACTTACACTGTCATTTTATGTATTTATATGTTCAATACTACACACTTGTAATTAAAAGAAAGGAAATGCCTCATTTTCCTTCAGGAGATGTTGTTTGCATCATTTTTTCTGCCTAAAGTGTGCTAGGCAGAAATTACTGTCTATTTATAGATGAGTTAAGCTGGAATGTGTTGGCATGAGATTATGCAGAGCTTCACCTAATGCCCAGTCAAAAATGTCTGCTGATGGCCCATCAGTGGAAATAATGACATATTTTTACCTTAAAGAGGATTATTTGGCCTTACAGATCTATTTTAATGGAGAATTGATGGCCTTGTCAGCTACTACTCTTAGCCTGATTGTGTTCACCACAGTTCTGAATGTCTGGGGGAAGAAGTAAAAGGAATTTGTTGAGAATAGCAGCTTGCTCAACTATTAGTGCTGTATTTCTTGAGATGATAATGGATTTCATCATTTTCAGATTGAAGGATATTTTTCTCTGGAATATAGAGACCTGTTCTTGAGAGCTGCTGAATGTTTTATAGGAATGCTATAACTTCTATTCTCAAAAAAACTGAATGAGAGTTGAGCATTTTTTAGTATTTGGTGAATGTAAAGATGTTCTTTTTATTTTATTGATCCTTTCAAATAGACCACCTTCGTTTACAATATTATTTAAAAATGGTGACATTAATAGAATAGTAGATACCATTCATCACAGGCTGAAATTTTGTTTAGAAAATAGCTTGCACTCTCAGTGATTGCTTTTCTGATTTATTTGCTGCTTTCTTTCTCTTATTCCATAACTGGAGGGAGCAGTCATTAGTGCAGAAGCAGCATCAGTAATTTCACAACCTTTTAAAGAAATAAGTCATAGCCTGCAGTAAGATACACAATTTTGTAGTGTTTTGTGGGAATTTGTTTATCATCTAGCACTTAGTAGTTGATCTTAATTGTGGTTATGTTTGCTTACTTTCACATCAGCAAATCCCTGAATTGAATCTAGGGGAGATTAAGATATCTAAATTTAGGTGTCTTATTGTGGGATTTTAAAAGTTGATGTGTTATATCTAGACTGCCATTCAAGGTAACGGAGTTGGAGTTCTAGGAGTCCAGAGAATACACTGTCTGTTGAGTGTCTGCTTTAAGGCAAGAATAATTACTCTAGAGGCTTGACTGTTCTGATTAGGGGTTAATTCAGTTACCCAAACACAGGCATCCCATGTAATGTTTGATAACCTAGTTTACTTCCCCTTGCTTCCAGATATTGGTTTAGAATGTACAGATCCTCCACAGATCCTGGACCACATCTCTCAGTCCTGTCCAGATGTCTGTGGACTATTCCAGAAGTGCACATTTATGCACATTTATGCAGCTGAATTAAATCAGTGATCTCCAGTGACCGTAGTGGAAGCCTAGACACAAAAGTTCTCCTCTGCCTATAGGTGCTTAAAGCTGGTGATTGCCTGACATTTGGCTGAAATCAGTGCAGATTTTCAGAACACAGGGCATCTGTGCAGCAAATATGTAAATACACGTGTAAATATTGTAGATACGTATGTATTTAATTTGAAAGAATTGGGAGATCGTTGAGTCTGATGCTGTTGCAGATTGTCAATTGCAGTGCTGAGAGGTGGGCCACTTCCAGGGGTCTACAGGCTGCGGCAGCTGCACTTCCACTGGGGCTCCTCTGACGACCACGGCTCCGAGCATGTTGTGAATGGAGTGAGGTATGCAGGAGAGGTAAGACTCACCACTACTTGCTTTAAAACAGGTTGTAAAATAAAATTTGCTGCTATTGTTCTGGTGGGATAAAATTAGTCATTTCTCTGTTTTTCAGGGAGTTCTTTTTATTTATTTATCTGTGCCTTTTTATTCTTGGTTCCATCGATTCCTATAAACATGAGTCAGGTTGAAGTCATTCTCACAGCAGGAGAAACGAAAAATTCTGTGTGAAACAAAGGTTTCCAAACCAGTGTGGTGTGAAACAGCACAGCAAGACTGAATTACTCAGAAGCAATCCAAACTTACTAAAACAGTATTCTGAAAATATAGAATGATGGTAGAAGTACAAAATTGCAGTGATAAAAATCAGGGGGGAAGAATGAATTACCTTGGTTCTTCAACACTTTAGGATTGTAATGAAAATGAAAAATGTAGACTTATAATATACATGAAGGGCATTCATATGGATTCTTTGACAGAATTGCTGTAATTTGAATGCCAAATGGAAATGAATCACACATATGTAGATGATGTCTGAGCTGCGTGTTCTACCTGCTTACGTAAGCAACTTTTCTTCAGCTTTAAGATGAGATTCCTGTTAATTTTTTTCAATTTATTTTTCAGATATTTATAGTTTATTTTAAAGCAAATATGACTATAATTAATAATGTATGATAGATATAAATGATATAGGACTTTGCAGTCCTTTTTTTTTTTCTCCTTTTTGGAAGGTCTCAATATCATTCCTTGTTGCCTCAACTCACACAATTATGTTAAGAACTGTAAATTCAGCCTCTGATGGCTTGCTGTTGAATAATGGGGTTCTTTTACACATTTTCCTTTGTTTCAAGCTACATTTGTTACACTGGAATCCCAAATACAGTAATTACCTTGATGCTAAGAGAAGAACTGATGGGATAGCTGTTTTGGCCATATTTTTGCAAGTAAGTAGAAGCATGCAACCCTTCTTTGCATTGATGCTATGGAGTTTCTATTCTTAGAGGGTTAAAAAAAAGCAGAACCCTCTGGATATATTTTCTAGGGATCCTACCACATTGAAGGGGTTGACTTTCAGTAATGTATCCTTTTCAAGTTACAGAGCATGAGTCATATTATCTCAAGTGGTATCCAGAACTATACACACTTGTCCCTGCAGCTATTGTGTCACTATGTGGCTCATGGAATGGGGACATGTGTCAGAAATGGCCCTCTGACCAACAGCAGTCAGCTGTCTTTTTTGCTAACTGGGGACAGATTTCAAGGACATGTATCTCTTCTGGGTTTTTCATGAACTTTCTCTCAAACAGAACTATCTCACAGGCAATACATATTATTCATCCTTTTTTAAAAATCATTTTAGGGGCATTCACCCTAAGCCTGAAATATTAGCTGTTGCTCTGTCTTGTTTAATTCACATCCACTAGAGACAGCACTAGAGATAGAAAGCTGGATGTCTCTTTTGAGATCAGGAATTGCAAACAATATATCTGACCATGAAATCTGTGTTGTGAAATTACCTGTTATGCTAAAATTTCTGTACTGATACAGTTTCCTCCTTTGCATCATAATATCTGTTGGGGTAGAGGCAGAGGTAACAGACAGAAGTCATGGCTTACCAAGCTGGTAGGGGTGATAGGTTAGGTTAATGCATTATAATTTTATACTTGGTATATGTTTAGATGCTCGTATAGAAAAATAGGAGAAAAGAAACCTGGTCAAGCAGAACTCCTTGCTTAGCTCACACTTTCTTCTTTACAGGTAGGGGAAACTCCCAAAGCAGAGATGAAGAGAATTCTTGAAGAAATAAATGCTATCAAAACAAAGGTAATGATGTTGGCCTTTTCATTCTAGGAAAATTGCTAAAAAAAAAAAATAAAAACCACAATGTCTGACTTGCTAGTTTGCACATTCTGCTCTGCAACATTTCCAGAATATATTTGGGAATAAAACCATGGGTAGCTTTTCCTTAATATGAAAAATCCTTTCTTCCATCAGCCTTCCTTGACTTTAGTGGGGCTTATGAGTTTGGTGAAAATTAGTAATTTCCCCAGTCTTTGATCTCCTAAAAACTAGGCATGGAACCTTATGTGCCTCAGTGGACAGAGCCAAATAAAAGACATATTTAGAAATTGGTCCATTTGGCCTTAATATGTAGGCTGCCTAGTGGATCTCTGGAAATGCCACTGACTAGACATTTGTGTCCTAGATAACATTATGTGATGAATCTCACATTTCATAGGCTGTCTTGCTTGCTATTAGCACAAATATGAAATTTGTACCTGTCTCACTTTGTTGTATGGTGACCTAATGCAATATTCAATAGAATTTCCATAAGAAAGGAGACCAGAAGAAGGAGTATTTCTGCCCAGATATGAGTGAAACACATTGGTACTGGACGGCACTTCACATGAGTTAGCTCAGGTACAAGAAGTAGCATCATGGAGTTTTCTGTTTCATGATGCTTTCTCTGGGCCCATCTGTGAGGGTCATTTAGTTCACCTATCTTACTGCACCATTTTAGCTTGTGTAGATCTGTGCTTACTTTCCTCAGTTAATACATTTGAAATATCTGAGTCATTCCCTGTTTCTTAAAATGACAGAATTTTACAGGAATCTTGGCTAGATTTGTTGAAGAGTTTTCTGTTTGGTTTTGTTGTGTTTTTGTTTTTATTTTATAGGGGAAAAATGCTCCTTTTCCAAACTTCGATCCTTCAATTCTTTTCCCTAAATCTCATGACTACTGGACATACCATGGATCTGTCACTACTCCACCTTGTGAAGAGTGTGTTACCTGGATTATTCTTAGAGAGCCCATCATAGTCAGTTCAGACCAGGTAAACTTCCCCCTTCATTTTATTTACATGCCATAACCTGAATGTATTCTTTTGACAAGGAAAACAACCACTGGTTTTGTGAGAAATTACAGGATTAAAAGGAGAGTGAAGAGCTAGCCCACATCCAACACCATGGTACTTCAAGCCCACAGACGTTAGAGAGCTTTTTTAATTCGTAAAAACATACCACAGTGTAGCTGGTAAGAGTTTTCTTTCAAAAACATAATTTTTCAGAATACAAATGTAATGGGATTGGTGACTCTGTCTGCCCTGCATTGCACATGGGAGTGCAAGCTGGAAATGTTGAATTACATGCTTGATACCTGTTTTTGAAAGGCATACTGGCTACTTTTTCACAAACTGGAGCAACAACAGCTAACTATAATTTATTGTTAATGTCACTTACTGTAAAGAAGTATTTCTTGTTAATTTCCCCTCCTAATTTTCTCCCAAGTCCAGTTACAGGAATTTGAATGCCCTCTTTCAGCACATTTCAGCCTATGATTCTACTCTTACCACACAAGTCTGTTTTCTCATCTGAGGTTATTCCTCTAGTCAGCAGACTAATAATACAGTACCACAAATTTCAAGGCTCCAGGATAGAAAGCACATGAATATTCATCAAGGGACTGACATATTATGTAGATGTTGTATTTGGACACATAACTTTTCATTTTAGGTTTTCAAGATGATAGTGTGTTTAATGTATTCATTGATGTGCATGTTATCACAAAAAGGAAATATTTTTATTTTCTAGTACTTTGTATTTAACTGGCTCTTTGTCTTTTAAGTAATACAACCCAGGTATGATGAGAACCTTACCTGGCAGTAGATGAAATATGGTAATGTGTTCATATATTTTCAGAGCTTATTGAATTGCTCTGCCTCCTGTTTCCTTGTCCATCCAAAGATTAAAATATGGGGGCTATTTTCAAGTAGGTATTTATGTGAAAACAACAAATACAGTCTGACTGGTTTCCACAAAATTAATCATCTTAGATGTTCATATTACAGAAGATCAGCTACAAATTATATTAGGAAAAGTGTAGTCATTATTGAGCATCTCTGATTTAAAATGCATTTTAAAAGAACTAACCACATTATTGATCCAGCTTTATGAAAAGACTTTTTGACTACAAAAGGTAGTCAAAAGGTGTTTGGGTCATGGTCTTTTTCTCAGCTGTTCTAAAATTAGTGCATTTTGGAAAACATACAAGACTGTTCTTTAACTATCCCTCTTGTAGAAAAAATGGAGCATCTAAGTTAAAGATTAATAAAGACAAGACATTGGCTCTTACCCTGAGGTAGCTGCTTTTCAGGCAGAATTGGCAGCATGTACAAGTTATTGTCTAGAAATACAATAGAAATACTTCCCTCACTCCAGAGTCCCTGCCCTCTAAATAATACATTCATATGAGGATCGTGTTGCCAATTATTTCTAATCCTAGACAGTGTAGTACCATGGAAGCCTCATTAATAGTGATTATTTGAAGTGTGTGTGCATTTGCAGTGGATTTCTTGGATGCTTTTGCAGCCAGATGGTAACTGTATATTAGCCACAAGGGGAAGTGCAGTCGCTGAAAATCAGTGCTCTGCAGGAAAATCAATTCACTAGAAATCCCAGTGAGGTAGTGTGGGTGGCCTAGCTGCTCAGATTACTTTTAATGAAAGAACAGGAATTTAACTGTGGAATAACTCTGTCTAATTGCAGACTAATTTTTTCATCTTTATGTAATCTTAGCCTGAATACATGTTGGTTTTTTACTGAGTAGAGCAGATATTTCAAAAATAATAAACCCCAGCACTCTTCTCTAAAAGTAATTTATCAGTATTAACAAAAGAGATGAAAAATTTTCATCTCTTCCTGTACAAATTATTCTTCATCTGAAATCTGAAATTTAATTTCAGAATATTAATCCACTGGATGCATGTTCTGCTGGTTATAAATGTGACCTCATCATTGTTCAGGCAGACTGAGATGGCTGGCTTTTCTGAGCTGTCCAGTGAAGAGTAATGTTGAGATGCCCGAGCTAGCTCAGTTCATAAACTGGAATGGAACAAGTTTAACCACAGTGAACCCAGGTTTTACAATGTAGACAGAAGTTCTGCTTGTATTGGCCTTTAAGTCTGTACTAAAAAGTAAATACATCAGTGTATTGAAGCTCCTGGTGAGCAAAGGTGATGCCTGCCCTGCATTATGTTTTCAAGTTTACAGGGGAAATGTGTGTGTGCTTTTCAAGGTAAGTCATTCAAACAGGGACAGGCTCAATGTCCAAATCACAGCTGATGAGTGTTGTGTCTAGTGTAGTATGTGGTAGTGACAGGAAATGAGTACAGGGTATCTATATGCATGTTGCATCCTTTGAAAATCAGAAAGCAGTAGAGAAAGAGTGTTAAACAGTTTTGACTAGTTTGGGCTCTTTATATGGCATCCCTTGAAAAAGGAAACACACCTTGGTATCAACAAAGGAGAGTCAAGCTGCAGACCTTGTTTACAAACCGTTTGAAACCTTAAGCAAGTCTTTATCTAGATTTAAATTCCAATTCCTGGTATTAATAAATAATGGACTTCTTGTGTCACTGCAGAAAAATATACCCTCTGCTGCAGACCTACACCATGGAAATGAACAATTAGTTTATAATTCAGCTTTAAAACCTTGTAATTCTAAAGGATTCTTAAATATCAGACACTAAGGCAAAATTAGAGTAGAAGTTTATTACAGCACAAGCAGCTGTATTCACATTTTCTGACTACTTCCCACAGTTTCTCTGGCTGTAGACAGTACCTAAATGACACTGTTTTTCACAATCCTGTTCAAATAGGACTCATTTTTCTGTTTTGACTATCCTAAGAATATCACTGCTAGGAAAAGAACAGAGTACATTTCCTGTGGTGGTGGGGTGAAAGACATCTACACAACGTTGAAGGAGACTTTTTTCCACAGCTGGACCAGCCTCTTTAGTTTAATTGTTGGGCTGTGGATTTGATCTCAAAGGATTTCCATCAGGACACTTCAGTTTTTGCTCTTGTGCAGATGGCGAAGCTCCGCAGCCTCTCCAAGAATGCCGAGAACGAACCTGATCACCCCTTGGTTGATAACTGGCGCCCAACTCAGCCGCGGTATTTCAGGATGGTGAGCGCGTCGTTCCTCTAGGATGTGGCTTCTGTTGGGTAGCTCTGAGAGAGGCAACCTCTCAGAATAAGAGGTGTTTTTGTTTTGTGTCCTTTGCTGCATTTACACAGAACTCCAGCTGCTGATCTGGAGACTGAAACTTGAGTTGTGGAATGAGAATTTCACTTTCAGAGGATAACATTTATTTTGGCAAATTCTACTTGTAAAATGGAAGTAGAGAATCTGTTTAGTTCTTCCTAACTTCTTTAACATCAGCTTTTGTTAATAGTTCAAAGGAAGAAAGAAGATACTAATTAGACGACAATTCCTATTGTGCACATGTCCCTTTATGCTTGTCTGATTGCATGCTAAAGAGGTTTCAGTTAAGAGAAGTAACTGGTTTCACCATTAAATTTTCAGTAGATGTTTTCAACATTATCCATATCCAGCTCTGAGCTGCACCAGTTAATCCACAAAACATTCTTGGAAATTATAAACACTTTTCGTCTTTGGAATAAAATATGGAAGGATAGGAAATTGTGTTATAATCATTGATAAAGAGCTAAACTTTTACTTTCTTAAGGTAATGGACAGGTGAAACAGGTGTTCTGAAAATTGTATTCACTGAGTTTATGCAGTTAAACCTATGGGAAGGGGGAAGAGCTATTTCTTTTTGTGTCACAACTGGTTCCCTTTATTAAAAGGCTAATTTCCATTTTAATATTGTAGCAGTCAAGGTGACATAAATTTTGTGAAGTTGGTCTTTGTATCCTTCGTATATATTTTATTCATATATGCAAATAGCTTTTCTGTGTAAAAAGGATGTTAAAAGAAAGAGACCTTAGTCTAATATTTTTTGAGACAAATTCTCATTTAATGTACAAATGTAATCAATCCTGCTGTCAATGAAACTTGTGCATAAACATCTGAAACCACAGTTGGATTCTTAATCAAAATGCAGTTAACAATGTGGTTTTGTCTCTTGTTTTATTACAAAGAGCAATTAAACAGGATTGTAATCCTCTAATTGAAATAACAGTATTTCTGCATTAAAAAAAATCCAACAATAATAAATATATTTACCTAAGATTTTTCTTCTGTAGTTTTTTACTATTTAGAAACATGTAAAAGTAACAGAATTTTAAAGAAGGACCTGTCAATTTCCTCTGTATTCTATCTTTGTAGAAACTGATGATGCATAGTATCTTTTTCAGACGCTTGAACTACAAGTGTACCGATTTTACATGACACCTAAATAGCTACATCCTTGAGACATCCACATCTGTTCTTTTAGTGACATCATCTCTATTCTGACAATGGCTTTCTTGCAACATCATATGAGTCTGCACAAGTTGATTGCAGAGTGGAAAAGTTCAGCCTGTATTCAAACTCACTAAACTGAAAGATAATTTACCATTGAGCTCAGGAAACACAAAGCAGGTGCAGCTCTTGCAGTGGCTGGATTCTTGGCAGCCGTATTCTGGGCCAGGAGGATGTTGCTGAGCTTGTTGATCGAAGAGGGATTATGTTATTTCATTAAAAAAAGGAAAATTGAAGCCAAAATAGATTTTTCAAAGTACTTAGTTTCTTGTGAGTTGCAAGGTAAGTTGTTTTATAAGGTACTTTATTAAACTGAATTGCATATCCTCGAGTAGTTTGGGGTTTTTTTAATGCAATTTATGGTATTGCAAATCTGGAACATGTATTCTCAGGGGTTTTTAAAGATATGGTGGTTTCCCAGTCAGACTTTGGAAAGGAGCTGTCTGGGTGCTATAAAAGCAGCTGAGGTAAGCCTCATGCTCCAGACCCATGTTTATTAACTTGGAACCTGAAAAGTTGAGGTAATCTCTCAGAAGGAAGTGTCATTTGACTCTTCCATGCAGTTGATTTCATTTTATCTGTATTTATAATTTGTAAAAAGTAGACTAAATTTGGCCCAGGAGAGTTGCAGATAGGAGGAAGTGTGTGAAAAAGGGTTTTGGCAGTTGTTTTACAGACCCTGTCCCTGTGCACAGGGACTGCTGGAAGTAATGATGACAGCTCTAGAAAACAATGGTACAGCAGGCATCCAGGGAAAAATGGAAAGAGTAGGAGTAGAAGGAAAATAAAAAGCCAAAGAATGAGGGTGGGGGCACTTCAGGGACCCTGTGAATCACACTGTAAGCTGAACATATGAGGAGATTAGGGAGAGTTTTGAAGGCAGCAGTGAGAAATGTGGGGTGCTGTGAGTCAGCATTTAGAATGTGCTCTTGTATCATGCAATTTTCTGCTCTCTCTGGCTGTGTTCATTGTTATTCTGCAGAGGTTACCCCTTTCTTTGCAGCTTTCCCCAAGTACAAGAAAAATTAATCACTAGTATGACTGAATTCAGATCATGTAGTAGTAACATCCATCATACTTCACTTCTTAACTGCACATTTCCACTATGGGATTTAACTCTGCACTGCAGGAACAGGGAGCCCTGGGTTTAGAACTACCTGGTAAAAAGGAAAGACATCCAATTTTCATCTTGGTGGGATAGGACACAACAAATTACTACTGTATTTGACTTTCATACCACATATGCCTGACTATACTTTGTGACATCAGTGCTAATTAGGAACAGCCCCTCTGAAACAAATATGAGACATGCCAGCCATACTGCACAGCTCATTGGCAGCCCCTTCTCCAAGTTACTTTTCATCTGCTGCAGAGGTTAGAAATGACATGGCCATGCTCTGTGATGCTGCAAGTCTTCCTGAAACATTTTAGTAGTATAGCTGTACCTGCATCTCTGTCACTGACAGTCTTGAACATAAGCAAGAAGGTGCTGTGGAATGAAACAGCAGCTGCAGTAGCACCAGAGATATGATTATGCACTTCAACAATCACCTTTAGATAGGATCTCCCCTTCTAAACTTCATCAAAATAAAAGATACCCATGGTAAATGTGTGGGCAGTCCACTTTCTTATGTTTCTCATTGGGAACCTATTCTCTAGCCCCAACATGTTGATCACAGAAGTTATCTGGGTTACCTGTCTGCAGCTGGGCAGGAGACCATCAACCTGCAGTCTCATTTTGTGGAGCTCTCTGAGGCAGGCAAGAGAAGGCAGATATAGATAATCTAAAATTTTATTTAAAAATAGACATAGATTTTAGTGTTGAAGAGGAGTCAAAATTCAGGTGATGGATATTTCTGAAGAATTTAGATCAGAACAGAACTTGATTAAATCTGATTTATATCCAAATTTATGCCTATTCTCTACTCCATTAGAGTAATTATAGGAAAATGAACAGACATTTCTTTTAATAATAAATAGGACAGTATTTTGCAACCTATGTGCATAACTGTTAATACATTGAGCAGAATTCTGAATTGTTTTGCTCAAGTTTCAGATTTGGGATCACAAATGATTTTTGGGACAGATGCTCTGTCCTGTTGCCCAGCTGTGGCAGCAGTGGCAGCTCACTGGAGCTGAACTCTGTCAGGTGGGTAAAGCCACCTGTCCAGAAGGGTACACAGCAAATCCCTAGTCACGCTCATCAGGATGCATCATGCCTCTAACAGAACATGCTGAAGTTTGGCTTGGTTTGGAAAATGTTTTCATTCCCTCACCTCAAAGGCTTTTTGCCACTGAACAGACCTATCTGTGCCTCAGTGTTTATACAGCTTACTCTCTGTGTATATGTATGTGTGTATCAATATATACACAAAACATATGTGCTGTATAAATACACATTCTGCTGCTGATTTTGGTTAATGTGTGATAGTATTTTGACTGAAACTACAACTAATTTCAGACTCGGGAGAAAAAACATCCTTCTAGAGAAGTTAGTGTGCTTTTAACAAACCTGTCTCTGGTTGGCTGCCTGCCACACCTAGCTGTCTTCCAGAATAAAGTAGTGGAGGAAATAGCTCCCTTTCCCTCCTTTTCCAAGAATAAAAGAACTCCTCAGTTTGGAGCAGGTATGCTTCTTTCTGAGATCACTGGGGCCATTAATCACCTCGTCTTGCTTGAAAATTCTTGCTTAAAAGCCTATGAGTACACTTGCTGGTCAGAAACTAGAGCTGGCACTTGGATTCACAGTTTCAGGTAACAGGTCAAGAGAAAGAAGTCTGTGAAGGACCTTGAAAGTCAAAGTGAGTTATGT